TTTAATCTGCATCCTTGGAAATGGGAGTAGTTTATTTATCTTTACAGTGGAATTTCTCTAGTGGGCGCTTAGGCCCTGAGCTCTCTTCAAAGAGGTGTCTTGGTTATGTACAGCGGCTGTGAAGCAAAGACCACAAGTGGATGGTTTTCACAAACACATGTCTTTTCTCACATTTTGGAAGGCGAGAGGCCAAATTGAGGGCATCAGCTCCAGGCAAAGCCTTTTTCTTTTTGGTGGTTCTGGAGGATGGGCCTGGGTCTCTCGGTCCACTTCTGTGGACTCACCATTCCTTAGAGATGTCAGTGTGTCTTGGCATCAACTGGCCCTGGGTCTAAGTGTTTCTCAGCACAGGGAGCCAGGTTCCTGGCTCTTCTTCAGTGGTCCTGTGATCCCACTTCCTGTTCTCCTCCCACTCTCCATTTACATCTTATAAGATAAAGGGAAATGCAGGCCACGCCCCAGAGAACTCACTTCCTGTCATTCAGTCCATTTTGACTCATCGTGACCTTATAAGACCAGGTAGAAATGCCCTTTCAGGTTTCTGAAGACTGTCAGTCTTTATGGGAGTAGGAAGTGTCATCTTTCTCCTGAGGAGCAGCTGGTGGTTTTGAACTTCTCCCCTTGCAGTTAGCAGCCCAGTGTGAAATCCACTGAGGTACCAGGGTTCCTTCACCCCAGAAGAACTCCCCTTATAGTGGATCAGGGCTGTGACCTCACTAAGGATGTTATGCTCTGCGCTAGTCCCTTACAACAAATTGACTAGTCGCATCACGAGGGCGTGATTTTATCATTCCTGAACAGCTAGGCCACTGAGAACTGTGCCCAGCCAGGTCAACACATGTGATGCGGAGGGGGAGCACAATTCAATCCATGCAAGAGGGTATCTGCCAAAGAGCTGTATGAGCTGCCTGTGAATTTATATAGACTGGGGAGAGCTGAAAATAATTTTCTACTAAGAACCAGTCAGTCCTGGGAAGCCTGAAACGTCTTAAAGATGTTAAGTTCTTATTTTTATCCTTACAGTGATGAGTCTCTTTTGCAGGTATCCAAGCCTCATCTCATCCCAGGAATTCTAGTCTACATAATCTCACCAAGAAGCTATTCCAGAAATACCACAAAGAAGTGAGACCAGTTCACAATTGGAGTGAGACCACCACTGTGTACATCGATCTATATGTCCGTGCAGTATTGGATGTGGTAAGAACCATCTCCCATTTCCTTATACTTGCTCCCCTCTTTTCAAATCACTTGCTGTTTATGCAGGGGTCTAGGAAATCATATAGGTCCCTGGATGGGGCAAATCGTTTGCACTCGGCTACTAACCCAAATGGTTGAGGTTGAAACTTACCCAGTGAGGTCATGGGGGGGAGGCCTAGTGGTCTTCTTCTGTGAAGACTTACAGTCAAGGAAACCCTCTGGGGTGGCTCTACTCCAGCATACACGAGGCTGCCAGGAGTCAGGATCAACTCACTGGCAATGGGTTTGTTTTGTTTTGCTGACCAAACACACCAGCCCAGCCAAGGTGACCCGTGAAACACACCTTCATGCATTGTGAAGGCTCGTTCCAGTGTGTGGCTTACCTGTAGTTTCTTAATGGGTTGTATGATCAAGTACAATTTCATCAACTCTTGACTTACGGTTAGTGCTTTGTAGGTTCCAAGAAATTCTTACACGTATAGATGTCATTTATATTAGCTAGGATATCAAATCCAGAAATACATAAATAATAATATATCAAGATCAAGTGGGGTTTATTCCAAGAATGCAGGGGCATAACACTTGAAAAGCAATGTGTTGTATTGATGTAACAGAGAAAAGAGAAAAAAATCACATGATCACCCAACTCAATGCCGAAAAGTAGGAAGCATAATACTATATGTATTTATGAT